AAAAAAAAAAAAAAAAAAAAAGAATTATGTAAGTGAAGTTAAAAGTCATGTGATTGGATTAAAATTATGTCTTCAGGTTTTTTTCTGTTGGTATTATAAATAGAACAGTAAAATATATCCCTCTGATTTTTTTTTTCTATTTCATCTCTATAATTTGATAGTGGTCTTTGTTATAATTAAATTATTGTTTTGTCATAATGGTGCATTGGGATGCACACTATCTTTTCAGCACAGCAGGACACATTGGTTTTGAAAGCTCTTATCCTTCTTGCACTATTTGAGGGCTTTAGATGGTGCAGTAAAATTAAAATGTCAAGTCTGTGGATCTGTTCAATTTCATAAGTGAGGACAGTCCTGGCGGTCAGCTACAGTGAGTATTGGGACAGGAGCTGCATTGTCTAGCCTGGGAACTCCACAGCTGTTAATCGTGCTGTTGTTGTAGTGTCACTGCCATGTGTTTCTTGGTTGAGGAAAGGCTACATACAGTGTTATGTCTGCCACCAGAACCTTTTAGTAATAGTGAAAAACTACTGACCTCCTTTCATATGGTTTCATTAAAGTCTTTCCTGAACTACAAAGTTGAGGAATTTTTCATGTACAAAATCTGATTTCCTAGAAGTAGTTCTTTTATAAGGCAGTCTTTTTGATTTATAAATTTGTGCTTCTTTGTTTTTTCCTTCTAATTGGAACAGTCACTAAATTAATGATATTATAGTTTTATTAAATACATGTTACTATAATACATTGTTGGTTAGAATTATTTTAAAGGCAGAATATCTTAGCTAACTTAAGCTGTACATTATTTTCATTCTTGTTTTTGAAAGAAGTTTAAGGTAGATATTTGAAATAGTTGAACCTTGATATTGCTAATTAAGTGCTACAGTTACTAACAGCTCCCTGACCAAAGTATGTATCTTTCTTTTAACCTACATTGTTCAAAGCCCAACTCCTAACAATGAGAGATTGTATATGGACCTAAACTCATTTATTTTCCTCAAGTTGATAATTACCTATTAATTAACATTTAAACAGTTTAGAGTGGAGAATATAAATTCATTGTTAGGATAGACATTAAAAATGAGAAGTCTAATATTTAAAAGTTAATAATGCAAACAATCTCATTGTACTGTTTTTTAGAGTGTAATCACAGCTTTTTAGCTTTTTTTCTGCTGCTCAAATTGGTAACTTTCTGGCTTCTTTTGAGTGATACGATATTTCAGGATATATAGCAAAGGCTCATTAAATCATATCAAAAATCATGTCCAAATTAGTAAAATGTTTAAATTGTAGGATAAATTTACTAAGTTGAGTTAGAAGTATTTCTCTTGAGTTGTTTGAAAGGTTATTTATGATTATGTGAAATATTTATAGGTGAACCTTGGTATTTATTGGAATTTTTCATTTAAGTTCATTAAATAGTTCTGCTGCATGGAATTTATAGCATTCTAATTTGCTTACTTTAGTTCAATAAATTCTTTTTATAAGGTGTGAAAGTCAACTTTAGCTTACACAATGTCTGAATTATATCAACATTCAAATTTATTGAGTCTGAATTGGAAATTATTTCAATATTAGCTTCTGGGAGACATTTTATTGTTTTGATTTCTTTATAGTATATAAGTATATTTCAGGATTGTGTCACATGGTATGAATTGCTTTATATTTGCTTTTATCCCCTATTTTGTAAAATATTTAAGTGTTTTGAATCTTGTATTAATTTTCAAAATATGCTTGAGGAGAACAGTAAGCAGTTACAGGAAATATGTGTTAATCACAGGCCAGTTAATAATAAGTGAAACTTGGTTTCACAGTTATTGGAGGAGAATGTGTTTAAAAAAAATAAATGATACACAGCAGAACAATTCTGAGGGGTCACATGTGTCTTCTGCTCATCCAGGCAGCAGGGCATGGAGCGAGAATAAATGTGAGCACCTCCCTCTCTCTATATTATGTTCTCAGATTTAAGAACGTGTTATAATGGCAGAGGAGGATCTTGGTGTTGACAATATGTCTGATTCATAAATCTCACTGCTTCATGTCTGATGTACAGGTGTAACTCTGGAAGTCCTCCTGACCAGGCTTGTGGGAGTTCTCTTTGCCTCTCTTGTGTTTTGGCCTTGCTTTTCCTTATATCCCATGTTCTTGTCTTTCTTCCTTTATGCTCTTTTTTTCCTTTATTCCAAAGGTGGCATATACTATATATATAACTTTTTATACTTTTTTTTCATTTAATATGTCATAGTGATCTTTCCCAATTAAAAGATAGGAAGGGCCAGGCACCACCTGTAATCCCAGCACTTGGGGAGTTCAAGACCAGCCTGGGCAACATAGGAAGAACCTGTCTCTACAAAAAAAAAAAAAAAAAAATCACATGTGGCAGCTCATGCCTGTAATCCCAGCACTTTGGGAGGCTGAGGCAGGTGGCTTGCTTGAGCTCAGGAGCTCAAGGCCAGCCTGGGCAACATAGCAAAACCCCATCTTTAAAAAAAATTTAAAAAATTAGCCAGGTGTGGTGGTGCATGCCTGTAGTCCCAGGTACTCGGGAAGCTGAGGCAGAAAGATCACTTGAGCCCAGAGAGGTCAAAGCTAGAGTGAGCGGTGATTGCACTTCTGCACTCCAGCCTGGGCAAGAAAGTAAGACTCTCACATACAAAAGAAAAAATAATAAAAAATTTTTGAAAGATAATTAACAAGCTTTTCCCTCATCCTACTGTCATAATCTGAATTAGGAAGATAAAATTCATCCACTAATTAGGGGCATAGTTAATATAAAAAGGTCACTTATTAAGTTTTATTCTTAAAATATATACTTTTATTCTGAAATTTTTCTGTGAGATTGGATCTTTCCTAAAATGTATACAAGAAATGTAGAAATATTTAATATAAACATTGTCTTTTACTGAGAGCTGCTGAAGATATATAATCATTATTGAGAACTAAGTTCAAATAAAACCATAATTAAAATTTGGGGGATTCTTCTTGCTATGTACATTAATTGATCATTTTTTACTTTAGTTATATGTATATATAAATGAGGTAGTGCACATAGCATAGAGATTATAGTAACCAGCTTAATAGCTTCTTAATATAGAAAGGTCTTCTTCATAGACAGTAAACTTTATATGGTCTATTTTCTTTTTTAGTTCTAATTAAAAAGTGTCATTTTAGAGACAGGGAGAAGGAAGAAAGGGGAAATGACTTTAGGCCTATAGAAAAACAGGACTAAGGCCGGGCGCGGTGGCTCAAGCCTGTAATCCCAGCACTTTGGGAGGCTGAGGCGGGTGGATCACGAGGTCAAGAGATCGAGACCATCCTGGTCAACATGGTGAAACCCCGTCTC